CACCTGCTGGAAAAAAGGGTCCAGCGTCCCATTGCAGACTTCCTTCCTTCGGGGCTCCACAGCAAAAAACCTTTTTCTTTTTTTTTCGGAAAACGTTTTTTCTTGTTATGGAAGCAACTGGCAACTACCTATTTTGGAAAAGTTGGCCATGAGAGGACCAACGCCTCAAGGGCGCCGTGGGTGCTTGCTAAAAAAAACGGCAGAAACACCCTACTCTTTTCCCAAGAGCTTTTTTTTTAGCGGAGCTCAACTCTTGACTGAGAAGAAGCCGATGACCTTGAGAGATCTCCAGCCCTTACTTCTTCCCCCTCTGGAATGCCTTCCGATGGGGGATCTCCCCCACCGTGGTGTTCTTATTCCGTCCCCTTTTCTGTCTCCCTGGAATCGCGCTGGCTGCTGACCTCCGATTGTAGCTTCCTCAATGGTTGGGCCCCCCTCTTCTGCTCTTGTTGCAAATTGCCTGGGAGCCCATCTTTCTTCCCTTCTGGAGGAAGCTGAGAGGGCTCTATCTCTGCCAGAGTCGCATGGAGCTAAGTTAAGTTAAAAAAAAAACAAATAAAGTTACTCCAGTTGTATGAAGATGAGGGATACTGGGGTCGGGGATAGTTGGGGTAGGCTGGCTGCTCGAGGGTGAGGTGGCCGAAGGCAACTGTCATTTGTCTAGTATCCAACCTCTACAACAACCTGGGCTTTATATACATATATGATATTTCTTCTTCTACTTCGCGTGCTTACGCTCTTAGTCAATAGTCCTGTGACAATATATATACAAAAGAGTTTTAGCAGTTTGATAGTAAGCACACCATTTAGCAGAGTACAGTACAATATACTAATATAGACAATACCTCCCTTGAGGCTGAATGGTAAGCAGATGTATAACTCTGGATAGATAGAGCATGATCCCAAATCCTCATGGAATCACTAGTTTCAGGGGCTAGCCTCTCACTTCTCAAGGATTTTCAGATTTTCAGCAATTGGTCAGGAATATCCCTGTTATTCTCAGCCGAAGCCAGGTAATGGCCCCAGTATCTCAACTTGTTCAATAATATCAATATAGTTGCTTAAAGGACCCAGCATGTGTTGCTCTCCATGAATAGATTGGAGCATTGTCAAAAGGGGAAAGAAAAAAGAAAAACCAGACTCACATACAAGTATGTTAGGTGATTGGTATCTTAGTTTGCTTCAGCGCTTGACGGCAAGCTTACACACACATGCATTCGTGGAGAAGAGTGTGTGTGTGTGTGTGTG